AGGAGAAGGGGAGGAGGAGGGTGTGGGGTGGAAGCCAGTATGGAGTTAGGTCCCTTGGGAACTTTTTTTGTCAAAAATTCTCATGTTGAAGGGGGGGTTTTGGGAAATTTTCCACGCACACAGGGGCCAGACCCCATCCCAAAACACCCCCCGTGGGAAAAATATTAAAAAAAAAACAGCCAAAAAACCTGGGAATTATAACAAAAACATTTAAAGGGTCCCCCTTAACTCCATACTGGTTCCACCGTTTACACCTTTCTCTCTCTTCGGGGCGCTATCCAAAAACATTTCCCAATGCTACAACGTCACCGGGCTACAACAGTCCACTGCTACAATAGTAACACGGTAAAAAAGTCCCGCTAGAAAAGTCACACTGCTACAAAAGTCCACTGCTACAACAGTCACACTGCTCCCAACAGCACCCTGTTTAAAATGGCCCCACTGTAAAATGTCCCCACTGTTTACAACAGTCACATTTGCTAAAATTTGGGCCCACTGCTGCAATAGTCACACTGCTACAACAGCCCACACGCTGCAATAGTCACACTGCTAAAACAGTTCCCCTGTACAATAGTCCCCACTGCTGCAATATTTCCCCACTGTTTAAAAAAACAGTCACACGTACAATGTCACACTGCTAAAACAGTCACACTGCAAAATAGTCACGCTCCCTTACTTGGGCCCCCTGCTAAAAACCCAGTAAACATGCTACAAAAAGTCACCCCTGCTACAACAGTCCCCCACTGCTTACAAAAGTCAAAACTGCTACAACAGTCACACTGTTTACAATAGTCCCCTTTTACAATAGCCACTGTACAATGTCACACGGGACAACGCCCACACTGCTAAACGTCACACTGCTAAAATTGTCCACTCCCTACAATAGTCACAGCTTAAAATTAGTCACACTGTAAAACCCAGTCCCCACTGCTCCCAATAGTCACATGCTACAACTGTCAAACTGCTACAACGTCCACTGCTCAACGTCACACTGTAAAACATTTACCGGCTAAAAACAGTCCCACTGCTAAAAACAGTCCCTGCTAAAACCCGTCACACTGTACAATAGTAACACTGCTCCCAAAAAGTAAACCCTCCCTACAACATTTCACATCCCCTACAAACAGTCACACTGCAAACCTTAGTAACACTCCCTACAACAGTCACCCCTGCTAAACGCCCACACTGCTACAACATTCACACTGCTACAACATTTCCACTGCTAAAATTTGTCACATGCTTACAACAGTCACACTCCCTAAAACCCAAGTCACACTGTTTAAAATTAGTCACACTGCTGCAATAGTCACACTGCTAAACAGTCACATGCTACAACAGTCACACAGCTAAAACATTTCCCCAATGCTACAACGTCCCACTGTAAAATGTCACACTGCTACAACGTCCCACTGCTAAAATTTAGTCACACTGCTACAACAGTCAAAATGCAAAAAACAGTCCCCCACTGCTACAATATCAAAATGCTAAATTTTTTTCACACGCTACAATAGTCACATTTCCCTTACAACAGTCCCCCCTGTAAAAATATTTTCCACACTGCTACAATGGGTCACACTGCTACAATAGTAAACATGTACAACGTCACACTGCTAAAACCCGTCCCCACTGCTACAATATTTCACACTCCCTACAATTTTCCACACTCCCTACAACATTTCACACTGCTAAAAACAGTCCATTTGTTACAACAGTCCACTGCTACAAAGTAAAAATGCTACAAAGTCACATGTAAAACCCGGGGTCACACTGCTAAAATTTGTCACACTCTCCCAATTAGTCCCCACTGTACAACAGTCAAAATGCTACAACAGTCACAAGCTTTTAATAGTCCAATGCTACCAACGGGTCAACTGTTTAAAATAGTCCCCGGGCTACAACGGGCACCTGCAACAATATTCAATCCCTACAACAGTCACATGTTTAAAAAACAGTCCCCACTGCTACTTTTAGTCACACTCCCTTTCAATAGTCACATGAAAAACGTCACACCCCCCTAAAATGTCACACTGCTAAACAGTCCACGGGTTTAAAAACAGTCCACTGCTACAAAAGTCACACGTACAACATTTACATGCAAAAAACCAGTCACACCCCTACAACGGGTTACACTGTTTACAACAGTCTGCTACAACGGGTCACACTGTTTCAACAGTCACACTGCTAAAACTTCACACTGTTGAACCCGTCCCCCTGCTAAAAACATTTCACACTGCTACAACAGTCACACTGTTTCCCAACTTTTCACACTGCTAAAACAGTCACCCCTGTACAACAGTCACCCTGCTACAACAGTCCCCACGGCACAATAGTCCACTGCTAAACGGGTAAACACTGCTACAACAGTCACTGCTAAACCCGGTCAATTTGCTCCCAAAAAGTCACACTGTTTAAACAGTCACACGGCTACAACAGTACACGGTACAATGGGTCACATGTTTACAATAGTCAACTGCTCAATTTTCCACTGTTTCCCAATAGTCCCCTTTGCTACAACAGTCACACTCCCTACAACAGTCCACTGCTACAACAGTCACCACTGCTACAACAGGCACAGCTCAAAAAGCCCCACTGCTAAAAACAGTCACACTGCCCAACAGTCACACTGTAAACGCCCAACTGCAAAACGGGCACACTGTTTACAAAAGTCCATGCTACAATTCCACTGCTACAACAGTCACACGGGTTTACCAGTCACCCCTGCTACAAAGTTCACACTGCTACAATAGTCACACTGCTTAAAAAAGTCACACTGTTTAACAATATCCCCCACTGCTACAACAGTCACCACTCCCTACAACATTTCCACACTGCTAAAAACGTCACACTGTTTACAACAGTCACACTGCTCCCAAATAGTCACACGGCTACAATAGTAAACAAGCTACAAAGTCCCCCCTTGCTACAACGTCACATGCTACTTAGTCCCCACGGGACAATAGTAAACATGCTACAATAGTCCACTGCTAAAATTGTCACACTGTTTACAACTTTTCACACTGCTAAAAACGTCACACTGCTATTTTTGCCCACACTGCTAAAATTAGTCACACGTAAAAACCCAGTCCCAAATCCCTACAACAGTCCACCCCCTGCTAAACAGTCCACTGTAAAATTAGCACACTGTAAAACCAGTCAACTGCTAAAAAACAGTAACATTTGCTAAAACCCAGCCCACCCCTCCCTTAAACAGTACACTGCTAAAATTTGTCACACTGTCCCAATAGTCACACGGGTTTAAAATAGTCACACTGCTTACAATAGTCCACTGCTAAAACGGGTCACACTGCTAAACGCACGCCCGTAACTTCACCCCCCTAAAAGTTTCCCCAAAAAAATTGTTGACATTATTTAAAAAATTTATGGAGAAATTTTTTTCACTAAAAAACCCCTTTTATTTTTTTAAATTCACTTTAAATTAGGGGAAACCTGAAAATAACACTTTCCCCATAAAAATTTACCAGGGGGAATTTGAAGGTGCAAACCATTTAGGTAGCTCTTACCCCTGAAAAAAATGAATTGTGTACAAAAAAAAAACCCCCTTCCCCCCTTTGGTGCCCCCCCCCATAACTTTATGTTTTTTTTTATTTTTTTGAAAGTAGCTTTTACAGTCATTAGTTGTACGAGCGATTGGAAACTCTTTTCTCTCTCAAAAAATTCCTAGCACGACAAAAGCCCCCATTTTACGTTTTTGGGTTTGTTTTGGGGAGGGGGGGTCAAAAGGGCCTGTTTGGGTTTTAGGGTGGGTGAGGTGAGTTCCCTATTGATTAGGGGCAATTTCAAAAAATTTTAAATGTGTCGGATTGGGGCGTGGAGTTTTCCCGGATGGGGGTTTCCCCTTTCGGGAAAAAATTTGGGAATTTGTTGAAGGAAAAACCCTATCATATTAACTTGTTTTTTGAGTGTAAAGGGAGTGGTTTTATTGCGGGTGTAAACCCAAGGGCGACAGTGTGTCTTTTTTGCCCCCGGGGGGAGGAGGGGCAAATAAAAGGGTGGCATGGGCACACTGTGAGTGTCCCCCACCCTGTAAAACCCGTGGTCAGCCCCCTGTCTGTGGTTTCCTGCCCAAAAACCTTACGATAACCTCTGGAACTCCCAGCGCTCCGTCTGCCTCAAGCAGTCAGATATTGTCGGTGGGGCTACGTCGGCGTCTTGGTGGATTCTTTTTATATATATTTTTATATATAAAAATTTTAAAATTTTAATATATATATATATATATTATATATATAAAATTTACATATATTTATAAAATATATTTTATATATATTATTTATATAATATATATATATATAGATTTACAATATATTAAATATATATATATATATAAAATTTAATATATATATTTATTATTTTTATATATATATATATATTTTTTTGTTAAAAAACCAAGCTAATAAATTTTTGCTGCCCCTGACTGTACATAAGTTGTTTGATCATCTATTACGTCAGTTTAAAAGAAAATGTAAAAAAAAGTGTATACTTTGTTAAGGCTATATACTAAAATTGCATTGTGGGATATACTGGGAGGTGAAGCTAGTGGGGGGAGACCAGGGGGGGGAGACCAGGGGGGAGACCGGGGGGAGACCGGGGGGGAGAGATTTCACATGATCGCTTCTTTTCTTTCTTTTTTTTTATTACGTTCCAGAAATTTATTAAAATTGAGTCTCCACCAAACTTGTGTTGGACATTACAATTTGGCGACGTTTCGGTCCGTCCTGAAATTTTCTCAGACCGGAGCCTCGTACAGGACGGACCCAAACATCGCCCAGTCTTCATTTGTAATTAGCGGGTTATTTGTGAAATGTTCTAGCATTGGTCTTGTGACTCTCTCTCTCTCTCTCTCTCTCTCTCTCTCTCTCTCTCTCTCTCTCTCTCTCTCTCTCTCTCTCTCTCTCTCTCTCTCGCACTGTAAATCAGTAATATGTAAACTTATATCTTGTGAATTCTTATCTCCCCCCCCCCGACATGATCCTTTGCAGGAGAGGAGGGTCCCTGTGCCGGACACGTGTGTGGTCACGGGGGCGTGTGTATGGAGCGGCAGGGGCGCCCTGTATGTGAGTGCCCTCAGTGTCCCGCCCACCTCGACCCCGTATGTGGCACCGACGGCATCTCTTACGACAACGAGTGCCACCTCAGAGCAGAGTCCTGCAGGATACATCGAGACATTCCCGTTAGATACAGAGGACGTTGCAGTGAGTATCTCTCCCGGGAAGAGACGATGGAGGAGGGATGGAGGATAGGATAGAGGGAGGATAAGGAGGAGCTAGGGTAGGGTAGGGTTGAGGGAGGGAGGATGATAGTTATACCAAGTGTCAGGAATGAAGTATAGTGTGCTTACCACTGTCACAAGCTGACGTTAAGCTTACGTTTAGATTCTGAAATCCATTCTTATTTTTATGCCAGTTATATTTTTGTGTCAGTTTTCTGTCTCTTTCTCTATCTCTATATCTTTCTATTTACCTCTCTCCCTCTTCTTTCACTCTCTCTTCTTTCACTCTCTCTCTCTCTCTCTCTCTCTCTCTCTCTCTTCTCTCTCTCTCTCTCTCTCTCTCTCTCTCTCTCTCTCTCTCTCTCTCTCTCTCTCTCTCTCTTTTATCTATCTAATATATATATAAAATATATAATAATAATAATGTCGTGCCGAATATGTAAAACTGGTCAATTAGCAAGAACTCATTTAAAATTAAGTCCTTTCTAAAATTTTCTCTTATACGTTTAAAGATATATTTTTTTCATTAATGTTAATGTAAAAATTTTTAATTTTTTACTAAAAGAATCTTAGAAAACTTACCTAACCTTATTATAACAAGAGCAATTTATTTTAGCCTAACCCAACTAAATATATTTTAGATTTGTTTACAGTAATTTAAAACTAAACAGACACAGTGAAATATATTTTTTTTCGTTAGGTTCAGAATGATTTTGGCGAAATTATTGCATACACAAAATTTTCACTTGTCCTATATGGCAAGATGAACGTTGCTATTTAAGCCAAGATCGCAAATTCTGCCTATTCTGCACGACACACACACACACACACACATATATATATATATATATATATATATATATATATATATATATATTATATATATATATATATTATTATATATATATATATATATATATATATATATATATATAAAATATATATATATATATATATGCAAAAACAACCACTCTGAAAAAATAGAGAAATTCCAAGCGCTTTCGTGACTACTCACATTATCAAGGAACTAGATAGTTCCTTGATAATGTTAGTCACGAAAGCGCTTGGAATTTCTCTATTTTTTCAGAGTGGTTGTTTTGCATATTCCGAAATCACCTGTTTACTGTGATCTTATTGCATATATATATATATATATATATATATATATATATATATATATTATATATAAAAATATTATATATATATATATATATATATGTGTGTGTGTGTGTGTGTGTGTGTGTGTAACCGAATAAGTAAAACTGGTCAATTAACCAGCACTCGTATAAAATTAAGTCCTTTCTAAAATTTTCTCTTATACGTTTAAAGATATATTTTTTTCATTTTTGTCCCAAAAGAACCTTAGAAAACTTACCTAACCTTATTATAACAAGCGCAATTTAATTTAGTTCAATCCAACTAAATATATTTTAGATAAGTTTACAGTAATTTAATAACAAACACAATGAAATATATTTTTATTCTTCCCTTATTCGACAAGAAGGGCGTTGCTGCTTAAATCAAAATGGCAAGTTTTACCTATTCGGCAACACACACACACACACACACACACACACACACACACACACACACACACACACACACACACACACACACACACACACACACACTATTCGTTCAGTAGTAATATATTTTATCTTCCGCTATTCATTCCTTTAACGTTAGGCTTTGAGATTCATGTCAGCTAAAATATTGGTAGTGAAAGCGTTGTTAACACAGCAGTAGGACCAGCAAGCAGAAGGTTACAGTTCACACAGTCATCCAGGAGTCCCGGCGTCGTATTCCAACGACGGTTGTCCCCGAATGACGTACCTTCGACTGCAGTGACGTGGGCTGCGGTACAAGCTTACGTTGCGACAACGTTTCGCTCCTTGTAGAGCTTTATCGATGACTCGATAACTCTATACAGAGCGAAACGCTGGCATAATAACAGCGTACGCTATTTGTGTCTGGGAGTGGGGGGAGGGAGGAATGGCGCTGACCTACCCCGGAAATCCACTACTGGTAACGTACAGGTTTCGTCTCTACGGCGGCCATTGAACACCATAGACAGAGAATGATAGGGAAACTAAGAGAGTAATTATAGATAATATAATTATCTAGTCTGTTAAAGTTTTTGAGGTTGAAATCTCTCGTAAAGGTAATTATCATTAAACTATGTGTAGTTATAGAGGTTTATTAGTTAGGTAGAGTTATAGAAGTTATTAGATGTAGTTATAGGGGTTATTAGTTGGGTAATATAAAGAGTGATTAGTTAGATTGTTTTCTACTGCATCTTCTCACCCACACACTTGCTGTCTCTCCTTATCATCTTCCCTCGCTTATTCCTCCTTCACTTCCTCTTTCGCTTCTTCCTCCTCCTCCTCCTCCTTCACTTCTTTCTTTGTTTCTTCCTCCTCCACTCCCCCACTTCTTCCTCCTCCACCTCGTCCTCCTCCTCCAACTTTTCCTACTTTGCCTCTTCCTTCTTCACCTCTGCCTCCTCCACCACTCCCATCTTCACTTCTTCCTCGTTTAATCTTCTCCTCCTCCTCCTCCTACTCTTTCTGCTCCTGCTCCTCCTGCTCCTGCTCCTCCTGCTCCTGCTCCTCCTGCTGCTCCTGCCCCAGCTCCTGCTCCTCCTGCTGCTCCTGCCCCAGCTCCTGCTGCTCCTACTCCTGCCGCTCCTGGTGCTGCTCGTGCTCCTGTTCCTCCTGCTGCTCCTTCTCCTGCTGCTCCTACTCCTGCCGCTCCTGCTCCTCCTCCTGCTCCTCCTCCTGCTCCTCCTCCTGCTGCTGCTCCTCCTGCTCCTGCTCCTACTTCTCCTGCTCCTCTCACACAGTATAACAAACACACTTTTCAGTAATAAGGGTAAGCAGTTTTTCTCTTTCTTTTATGAGAACATTTTAAAATATATTAACCTGAAGATTACTTTGATAATTACGTTTTTTTAAAGTATCCCCATAATTACTTTTTTAACATTATCACTATGTTACTTTATGACCACAATTAACCCATTTTTACCGTCCGGGTTTTAATGAATTTTCAACGCAAAAAGACCATTTTTTTAACACAATTTAAAAAAAATTGTTGATTCGCTTGCGAATTATTTTACTCAATAATTTATAAACGTAACATCATTTAATAATTTTAAGAAGGATTATTTTTGCATTATTCCAACATGCTTACCCCTTTAAGCTTGTCTTTTTTTTTTTTTAGCTATTGAACGTTTAAATTTCAACTGAAAGAAATGTATATATATATTTTGAAAAAGGAGATGTTGGTAGTCTCAAGAGAAACTTATTTTCAGACATTTTATGTTGACTAATTCTGACCTATAGAATGTTTGGTTGGAATGTTATGATATAAATGTTTCAAATCATTAATTCCAGTCATCGCGCAGGAAAACACCGTAGCCACAGGTAATGTTATGTGTTATCCCAGGTACCCTAGTACTTGTCACTAGTACCCCAGTATTCTAGTACCTCAGCACCTATCCCCAGTACCAGAGTACCTTTCTCTAGTACCCCAATATCCTGGTACCTTAGCACCTGTCCCTATTACCTCACTACCCTAGTACCCTAGTACCTCAGAACCTGTCCCTAATACCAGAGTACTTTTCCGTAGTACCCCAGTATCATAGTATATCAGCACCTTTCCCTAGTATCAGAGTGCCTTTCCCTAGTACCTCAGCATCTGTCCATAGTACCACAGTACCCCACACCTGTCCCCAGTACCCTAGTACCCCAGTACCTTGCACCTGTCCCTAGTACAATAGTACCCTAGTACCCTGCACCTGTCCTTAGTACAACAGTACCCTGCACCTGTCCTTTGTACAACAGTGCCCTAGTACCCCAGTACCGTAGTGCACCAGCACCTTTCCTTAGTACCACAATACCCTACACCTGTCCCCAGTACTCCACATCTGTCCCCAGTACCCCACACCTGTCCCCAGTACCCCACACCTGTCCCCAGTACCCCACACCTGTCCCCAGTACTCCACACTTGTTCCAGCACCAAACACCTGTATCTAGCACCAAACACCTGTAATCATAGCTCACACAACACACTTGTGATCTTAAGCACCAAAATCCTGTATCTGCACTACATCTGTGGATCTAGCCACTACACTCTTCCAGCACCATCCACCACACTGTCTCTAGCATCACCATACCTGTTTCAAGCACCATAACTCTGTATTTCGCACGTCACACACTGTTAGCATAGCATCATACAAAACCTGAGGAGAGGCAGAGTGTAATACCTGAGTCTCAGATGCTGCATGGTCAGCTACTCCAGCACTTTCTGTTCGTCTCACAGTCGAACTTTCTCCCTCCACTTCCCGCCCTTTAGTTGTATGTTTTATTATATATGTAAAACCCACTAGGCTAATACAGAGAGATGACTTTAGAGAAGAGAGAGGTAGAAGAGAGCCAGATTTGAAGAGAAAGAGAGAGACTCGAAGAACCGGTGAAAAATGAATATAATGATCAGTAATTGTGATAATGGTTGGTAGCATAAAGATTTTCAATGGATAGTCAGTTGACGAAATGAAAAAACACTTTGGTCACAATGCTCCAACTTCTCCCTGATCCTATTGTATGTTTCAAACAATGAAAAATAATAATGAAGGTAATGCAAAGGTCATGCATATTTATTGACATGGTTGGAGGTAGGTAAGCAGTCTCGTTTGTAAAATAATCAAATGTAACTACGTAGCCTAACCTGTAAAAATCCTTATAAATATTATAGTGTGTGTCGTGTGGTGTGTGAGAGAGAGAGAGAGAGAGCGGGTTGGGGGAGGGAGAAATGGGGAAGAGTTAAATAGTTACACCTTGTTTTATCACATATACTTAAGTCGAAAGACATATATTCAGTTATTATTGCCAGGTCACATACGAGCGCCGTGGCAGTATTATTGAACTGCGTGCGCAGAGTGAAAGTCTATGACAAGATCACATCATTGCTTTCCTGTGGACAGCATTTGATCAACTATGTTATACCTCCTTACAGACTAAAACATTAACCATGTGTCCAGTGGCCTGGTAAGTCAAAACACACTGCTTCACATTCTGAGTGTCCGTGGTTCGTCCCGGCAAGGGTGGGAACATTGGGCGTGTTTCCTTACACCTGCTGTCCCGTTATCCATAACAGGCAAGTGTTATCCTGGTTATTAGTTGACTGGGTGGGTCGCATCCTGGGTAAAGATTTTAATCAACTCCCAATCGGAAATAAAAACACAGTCCCTCGATGTTCACATTGACGATTCTGGGTTATCCTGGGGGGTAACTTCAACCTTGAGGTTAGAAAATCCGAACAAACAAATCTTATCTCTCTTAACGAAATAAAATGATAATGAAGTGATAGATTACACTGAGTGTGTAAACAAAACACACAATGCTTGCTGTGGCATTTTATTGTGACGACGTTTCCGCCATAGGGAGTATAAATCTAATAAAATCTACTCGTGACTGTTTATCACTACACAGTAAAATTACAATGACTTGCAACTGGTTTATTTGTTATGAATCGATAAAAACATCTCTTACAGCTTGTATCCCTGTTAATACCAGTGCAGACGCTGAGTCAAAAGCAGTATTTAGAAATCCATGAACTGCCTGCCTCTCGGGATACATAACTGAAACTAACTAGTTATAATGCTGATTTCAATGTGAGACGGACGTCCTGGGAATTAGATGAAGGGGGCGGGGGGGGTGCAAAGCTTTCACTTTTGAGCTTCGAAAACACGGAGAAAAGTTCAAAGCCGAGACCAGTTAGCCAACGGTGGAAAAACGGGAAAAAAAAACGTAAGATAGGGAATAAAAAAAAGTTGAAAGGGGTTTGCAAATGACGTTTTCTTCTACATTTCCTATCACTATTGGTTTACTGGTGGCGAAGAAAAGGTTGCGTGCCGCGCAGTAGCAAAAATTATATAAGCTATGTTTTTTTTTTTTTATCCCCTGCATGGTACCTTGTTAAAAGTTTGGCGAGGATCTGTAGCTGGATTATCTTCGTTTTTTTTCGGCGAGCTTTCTTCTGTATAATTCGCCCGTGGCGGGGAATTTTTACCTTCAAGAGTTTTATCCTTGAAAACGAACTCTTAGTGTTTCTTTGAGTCCAACCCTGAAATCAATTGAGAGGAATTTATCAGATATTATAATCTTCTCCGCTTGACAGTTTTATTATATACATAATAATATCCCTCTACAATATTTCACTTTACTACAATACTGTACAAGGTATACTGTTCCTACTCTGACATCAGTGACATACTCTACCTCAATAAAGCCGACTTTTATGCGGAGTATTGGGTAAATTAGGTCACTTTTGTCAGGATGCGAACCAACAGTTGTATAGGCGTGCTGGTATCCCATTCTCTGATGGCGTTGTGTGACATTATACAACCGGTGTAAAGGAACACGCCCAATGTTTTCCTCTCCTGGAATCGAACCCGGACCACTCGATCGTGTGATGGAGAGCTCTTGGTCAGGCTCTCACACATGAAGCGTTGTTTTCGTAGTCTGTTTAAGTCAGTGTCACATGGATGTTATGAAGGTAGAGTACGAGGGAGAAATATATCCAGTCTGCATGGATACCACTTTGTAAAAATCTGTATCAAGTATCCCATTTTGATTTATGCATGTCAGTCATTCTCTCATTGGCATTCAACACAGCTCTTGTCTCACAATCTTGTTCGTACAGGTGTCACCTTGGCTTGCCATTCGTCCCCGTCTCTGCTCTGTCTCTCGCTTTTCCCGTCCGCATCATATGGTAGGGCTAATATATTATACCCTATCTTTACAATTTATGAGCGTGTTACCAAGTCCTCAGGGGTCATTTTAAGTCTCTCTCTCATGTCCGTCTCTTCTCTCTCTCTATCCACATGTATGATCCCTCTCAACACCACTGTTCCTCCCGATCTCTCCCCAATCACAGTGATGTGTGTCCTCCCTCTCGCACCATACTGTTCCTTCCACTGCTTCCCCATCACATTACTCTCCCTCCCACATCCACCAGTGCTCACCCAGCGGGTGTGAGCAGAAAAGCAGTGCGACTTCACAGTTGTTGTGTGAAGCAGACGAGATTGGTGTAGGGGCCGGGTGTGTGTCCCGAGTCCTGCGTCAAGGTGAGTCACCAGGGCGGTGTGTGTGTCCCGAGTCCTGCGTCAAGGTGAGTCACCAGGGCGGTGTGTGTGTGTGTCCAGAGTCCTGCGTCAAGGTGAGTCACCAGGGCGGTGTGTGTGTCCCGAGTCCTGCGTCAAGGTGAGTCACCAGGGCGTGGTGGGTGTGTGTCCCGGAGTCCTGCGTCAAGGTGAGTCACCAGGGCGGTGTGTGTGTCCGAATCCTGCGTCAAGGTGAGTCACCAGGGCAGTGTGTGTGTGTGTGTCCAGAGTCCTGCGTCAAGGTGAGTCGCCAGGGCAGTGTGTGTGTCCAGAGTCCTGCGTCAAGGTGAGTCACCAGGGCGGTGTGTGTGTCCCGAGTCCTGCGTCAAGGTGAGTCACCAGGGCGGTGTGTGTGTCCCGAGTCCTGCGTCAAGGTGAGTCACCAGGGCGGTGTGTGTGTCCCGAGTCCTGCGTCAAGGTGAGTCGCCAGGGCAGTGTGTGTCCAGAGTCCTGCGTCAAGGTGAGTCGCCAGGGCAGTGTGTGTGTCCAGAGTCCTGCGTCAAGGTGAGTCGCCAGGGCGGTGTGTGTGTGTCCAGAGCCCTGCGTCAAGGTGAGTCGCCAGGGCGGTGTGTGCGTCCAGAGTCCTGCGTCAAGGTGAGTCGCCAGGGCAGTGTGTGTGTCCCGAGTCCTGCGTCAAGGTGAGTCACCAGGGCAGTGTGTGTGTCCAGAGTCCTGCGTCAAGGTGAGTCACCAGGGCAGTGTGTGTGTCCAGAGTCCTGCGTCAAGGTCAGTCACCATGGCAGTGTGTTTGTGTGTGTCCAGAGTCCTGCGTCAAGGTGAGTCGCCAGGGCGGTGTGTGTCCTGAGTCAAGGTGAGTCACCAGGGCAGTGTGTGTCCAGAGTCCTGCGTCAAGGTCAGTCACCAGGGCAGTGTGTTTGTGTGTGTCCAGAGTCCTGCGTCAAGGTGAGTCACCAGGGCAGTGTGTGTCCTGAGTCAAGGTGAGCCACCAGGGCGGTGTGTGTGTCCAGAGTCCTGCGTCAAGGTGAGTCACCAGGGCGGTGTGTGTGTCCAGAGTCCTGCGTCAAGGTGAGTCACCAGGGCAGTGTGTCCAGAGTCCTGAGTCAAGGTGAGTCACCAGGGCGGTGTGTGTGTCCAGAGTCCTGCGTCAAGGTGAGTCACCAGGGCAGTGTGTGTCCAGAGTCCTGAGTCAAGGTGAGTCACCAGGGCGATGTGTGTCCTGCATCAAGATGAGTCACCAGGGCGGTGTGTGTGTGTCCAGAATCCTGCGTCAAGGTGAGTCACCAGGGCAGTGTGTGTGTGTGTGTCCAGAGTCCTGCGTCAAGGTGAGTCACCAGGGCAGTGTGTGTGTCCAGAGTCCTGCGTCAAGGTGAGTCACCAGGGCAGTGTGTGCTTCCAGAGTCCTGAGTCAAGGTGAGTAACTCTAAATTCTCTGCAACACAGCAGACGAAGTTTAGTTAGTTTAATATGTTTAATATGCACCTCATACCCATCCAGTGGGCGGTAGTCAAAAGTCGAACCCGAAGGTTATCCCATATCCTAAATTTCTAGTCGTAGCAGTCAGGAAGTTGTCATACATCCTTAACTAGTATATTGTTATTTATATATCCCAACCCCTCAAAGTTTTTTTTTTTTATCCGATAAACTGGAGTTGATTTTATCCCCTTTTCATATAACATTCACGGAAGGTAGGGAGCGCTAAACCACGGGGGCCATACAGTGCCTGGAAGTCAATCTGGGATTGATCCAGGGAAGGGGAGGTCAGTTCTAATTCCATGGGCCAGAAGTCCATTACCAGCGTCAAGAATCTCGCCTCCTTTCATGGATCAAGCCTGAACAACCCCCCTCCCTCCCCCTACCCATGGATCAAGCCTGAACAACCCCCCTCCCTCCCCCTACCCATGGATCAAGCCTGAACAACCCCCCTCCCTCCCCCTACCCCCTTTCAAATTTATTTTTATAGATGATTTTTGCAGTGAACTGCACAGAATTGTGTACTGTGCATGATTTGGGTGATTCAACAAAATACTTAGATATTTTTATTACATTGTATTAATAATCTTTACAGTAAAAACCCACATTTTTAATAATTGCATCAGTTTTATATATCAAGTGATAACTAACGTGTTTTGGTGGTTTGTGAATCATGCAAATCGAAATAAGTCCAAAAATTGTCGGGTGGTCAGAGAGGCGTGTGTGAAGCCCAGGGTGGTTTTTATATCACTAAGCAGAGAGAGGTTCATAATTTCTCAAGAGAATAAAAAATATGTTAGAATTAAAAGTTGATGAACTCATTATCGGCTTGGCTGATTTCTTGATAGGCTAATTTCTTGAATTAATTAGGTTTTTAATCAGTTGCTGGATGGCAGTAACGATGGAGAGTTTAATGGATGGGGGGAAGGAGGGTTGGATAGATGAATGGATGGAGAAAGGGACAGGTGGATGGTATTAATCTCTCACATTCTTGCCGTGCAGGTGGAGAGCAAGGTGTGTGGCACAGACGGGGTCACTTACCTCAACGAGTGTCTGCTGAAGGTGGCTGCTTGTCGCAAGCAGCAGTTTATTATCGTGTCGTCCAGAGGCGACTGTGGTGAGTGTTCGTGTCTGCTAACACATCCCTTTCTCTACGCTTCCCTAGCAGATCTTTGTCAATAGACTTTACGTGTCCAACCCGACACATCTCCAACAGTGCGAGTGTTCTCCAACATGTTGTCAACAGTTTGTACGTGTTCTCCAGCAGATCTGGTTAAGTGTGCAAGTGTTCTCAACAGATCTTTGTAGTATGTTCGTGTTTTACAACAGATCTTTGTAGTATGTTCGTGTTTTATAACAGATCTTTTTTAACAAGTTACGTGTGTCTTAACAGATCACGATGACAACTCATGAATGTCTTAACAGATCGGTATTTACAGCTTGTGTTCCTCCACAGATCTTTGCCAACACGTTGTGTGTAAATATGGTGGTCGGTGTGAGAGTGGTCGGTGTGTATGTCCCAGCCAGTGCCCCACCACCCGCGAGCCTGTATGTGCCTCCAACGGCCACACCTTCGTCAACGAGTGCGAGATGCAGAAGGCTGCGTGTGGCATGGAGGACGGCCTCAGAGTCACCTTCGTCGGCGAGTGTTCTGAGGCTCGTACGTCAGGAGTCAGTAAGTACCTTTCAACTTTTTAGTAAAATTGGATTCATCAACAGTGTGTTGCTACCCTATTCTATATGATGGTTACATAGTGGGAACAAAGGGTAGCTATGTTTCCCCCTGCCATATTCCATCACATAGGATTGGTTATGTAGTGTTCAAATGTATCGGCCATAGCTGGAAGGCTTCAGTAGGACAGTGAAGATGTCTTAAACAATTCTATCAAAGGTTTATCAGCTATGGAAGCTTCAAAGATTTCGTACAACCAAACCTGGAGTTACTATTATTTCCTGGGAAGGGGATGGAAGGAAGACGTAATAATTTTGTGTGTCGAAGGTAGTGGAGTGTCCTGACTCGTTGGAGGCTCGAGAGGGAGGGTCAGGAAGTACCAAAGAAAGTGGGGGATAAAAAAGAACTTTGCTAGTTTTAAAGGCGTCATAGGTTGCGGTGTATGTTTCCCTGCTCGTTGATGCCCAGGCAGCGTCAGTAAGTACCCAGGGAGGGGTAGGGCAGCCGGGGAAGAGGTTTGAAATTCTTGGAGACGTCGAAGCTGATGGTATTGTAGTTTTGTGGCTCCTGGGTCGGGAGGCTTCATTACTTGTGGTCATGGTTGCTGCTCATTTAGGGAAGAGGGTAAATGGGTATGACATGGGGAAGAGAGGGGGGTAAATCATGGGGAATAGGGGGCAATGGGGATAGCACGAAAAGAGGGGAAGTGGGTATAACATGAAGGAGAGGCAGGATAAAGTTCTGGACTCAAAGAGGAGTTAAACGTGTCTACCAAAATATAGGAAAGCTGTTGACCTTGAAGGTGCAGAGGAGGGAGACTGGAGTTTATTTTTTTAACAAAACTGGATATATCATCGATGTGCTGCTAGGGTGAGTGCTCACGTTGGTGAGAGGGGAGAGTAGTGATGAGGGTAGGGGCAGTAAGTAAATGGAAGGGGGTAAGTGTTTGTGGGCAGACGCTAAAAGGAAGAACTGTCCGGTGAATACATAGGCAGTTAACGAGGTTAGTATATTCATGGACATTTGCCTAGCCAGTATGGGTCATACAATGCAGTAATACACCATTGATTCAAGGTTACCTTCAGTTCCTTTGATCAAGTGCTCTTCATTAACATCAGAAGGTACCTGCGGGTACAAGAAACAGTTGCGGAATAGACGATGAGGGCGAAACATCGAAATATAGACAGACGAAGAATTAGATACATGTGCAACATCTAGGTATCTTTATTTGTAGACGTTTCGCCATCCAGTTGCTTTATTAATACAAACACAAGGACATAATAGGAAGACTGTAGAACTATGTACAAAAGACGAGGTAATCAGTCCCTCAGCCTTGGAGTTGATAATCACTGCGGTCTTGAAGAATCTTCAGCACAAGCATGCCTGTGCTCATCACCAACTGCAAGACTGAGGGACTGATTACCTCCTCTTTTGTATATAGTCCTACAGTCTTCCTGATTATGTCCTTGAATTTGTATTGATAAAGCCACTGGATGGCGAAGCGTCTACAAATAAAGATACCCAGATGTTGCACATGTGTTTAATTCTTCATCTTGTCGGCATTGTATGCAATTCATGTATATATGGACAGAAATAACTTGAAATCTGTGTGCATACGTATTGCTGAAAGATATGAAAATAAGACGTAATATCCATATCGTTTATTTCAGAGCAAATCTTAAACATAAAGGTCTACTCTGCGAAACTTTATGGTAGTAAAGGCTTATTCAGTGTACTGCCTTCGTGCCCAAATTAAAAATATAAAGGAGACAGACGACTCAAGTATTAGACACAAAGCTGATGTAAGGGGGAAGTGCCTGAGACGTGGTCATCAAGACGAGTTATAATAAGCTAAGTGAACAGGGATGCTGCTCATTAGAAAGACATAAAAGCTCTTCGTTTTCTGATTGGGTAGGGAGAGGCTCTTGCAGTTCGCTGATTGACTAGGGAGAGGTCCATACAGATCGCTGATTAGGTAGAGAGAGAGAGAGAGAGAGGCCCATCGCTGATTGGTGGGGAGAGTTTTCTCACATTATCAAGGAACTATCAAGGAACTATATATATATATATATATATATATGCAAAACAACCACTGTGAAAGAGTAGTGAAATTCCAAGCGCTTTCGTGACTACTCACATTGTCAAGGAACTATGAAAGTAATACATCAAAGGAAGGCAATTAAAGGGCTTAGACCACACCTCACAGTCAACTCCCACAACAAAGAAACACCTGACGCGCGACAATACCGGACTCATAAGAGGAACACTGCAGTAGGTCCGCTGGTCCAACTAGACAGGTCCTCACGACATCCCAGTAACAAATTATTCTACCCAAGAAATAAGGTTTATTACTTGTCCAATGTATTATTAAACTAACCAAATTTTATTAATTATAAATGAGTCTAATTTATATAAACCTAAGGAAATATTCATATTATTGTCAAAACTGCTTTTTATGAAACAAGATTCAATTATATTCCTGTCGACCATGGACTTGCTTGATACTACTTTCTCAACTTTTTGAAAATCAATTGGATGGTTAAAATCTCTTACATGAATAAATATAGCATTGGAATCTTGTCCAGTTCTAATACTATATTTATGTTGTTTTAATCTAAGTTCGAGACTTTTACCAGTTTGACCGTAATAAACTTTATCGCAAATTTTACAAGGAATCTTATAGACACATCCGTCAGCATTTTGGGGGGAATTCTTTATCAAAAGTTTTTTTTACTGTATCAAGATTTTTAAATACAACTTTAATATTAAAAGTCTTAAGAAGAGAAGGCATATCAACCAAGTTTTCATGGTAAGGGAGAACCAACATATTTTTAGTTGAATAAGGTTGGTTGTCCCTTTTTGGGTTGTAAAAAATATTTCTAGCAATTTTAAATGATTTATCAATTACATTTCTCGGGTATTTCAGATCAATGGCTATTTCATAAATTTTGGATATTTCTTCATCTATGAACTCTGGACTACAAATACGTAAAGCTCTCAAAAACATTGATAAGAAAACAGACAGTTTAATTTTATCTTGATGGGAAGAATAATAGTGTACATAGGAACAGTTATTTGTAGGTTTTCTGTAAATTTTAAATTTGAATTCATTATTACTCTTAATAATTAAAACATCTAGAAAAGGCAATGAGTTATTTTCCTCAAACTCAACAGTAAAGTTTATAGAATGGGCTAAGCTATTTAATTTGCCAAGGAAATGGTGTATATCTACATTTTTGGGCATAAGACACAAAATATCATCAACATATCTGAACCATTTAGCTCTGTTAGGGAGGATTGTGTTAAGCAATCTTGTTTCAAAAAATTCCATGTATAGATTACTAAGAACAGGTGAAAGAGGATTTCCCATTGCCATACCAAACTTCTGAGTGTAAAACTTATCATTAAATACAAATTTTGCATCAATGCAAAGTTTAATAAATTTAATGATGGTAGGAACTGGTAAAGGTAAATCATAATTAACGAGTTCTTCAGATAAGAAACTTAATAAATCATCAACAGATGAATTTGTTAGTGGGATGTCGTGAGGACCTGTCTAGTTGGACCAGCGGACCTACTGCAGTGTTCCTCTTATGAGTCCGGTATTGTCGCGCGTCAGGTGTTTCTTTGTTGTGGGAGTTGACTGTGAGGTGTGGTCTAACCCCTTTAATTGCCTTCCTTTGATGTATTACTTTCATAGTTCCTTGACAATGTGAGTAGTCACGAAAGCCCTTGGAATTTCACTACTCTTTCACGGTGGTTGTTTTGCATATTTTAAAACCACCTGTTTACTGTGATCTTATTGCATATATATATATATATATATATATATATATATATATATATATATATATATATATATATATATATATATATATATATATATACACACACACATGTTGTGCCTAATAGGTAAAACTGGTCAATTAGCAAGAACTCATTTAAAATAAAGTCCTTTCTAAAAAATTTTTTCTTATACTTTTAAAGATATATTTTTTCATTAATGTTAATGTAAAAATTTATAATTTTGCAACAAAAGAATCTTAGAAACTTACCTAACCTTATTATAAGAAGCGCAATTTATTATAGCCTAATCCAACTAAATATATTTTAGATACGTTTACAATAATTTAATAATAAACAAACACAATGAAATATATTTTTTTCGTTAGGTTTAGAATGATTTTTGCGAAATTATTGCATACACAAATTTTCGCTTATCTTATATGGCAAGATGAGCGTTGTTATTTAAGCCAAGATCGCAAGTTTTACATATTCGGCACGACATATATATATATAATTATCCACTTTACTGTGATTCTTATCGCGTAGGTGACTGTTCTATCAGTTACTATTAATACGACTGACACACGTGATGCAATGGCTTTTTGTTACTGTTCACACTGATTTCAAGTATATTCGCCACAAAGTGATACCTGATTAGTATGGTGTGAGCTAATTTAAGTTCTAAGGCTGGCAAGGTAGAGACAATGAAGTCAGCGAGATCAAGAGGCTTGCCACAGCTCAGTGTCCAGTCGAGCGAAAGCCTCGAAGGACACTGATGGAATCACAGAATTTTCCTGGAAGAAGGGCAGACTGCTGGTGTGGGACTTTATATGTACAGCTACTCTATCCAACCCTCTGTTCCACTTACTGTTGATGCTGCTGGTCATAAGGAAAAAAAAACACTCGGGTATTGAAATTTTCCCCGTCAAGGCAGCTTGGTCCTGGTGGGGACCTTGAGTACGAAGGCCACTCAGTGGTCACAGCCAGTTTAAAAGAAAGGTAAAATTAACAAAGAGTAAAAGTAACGAATATAAACACTCAACATAGATAAATACTATTATAGAATAACGAGCATCAATTCGAAACCCCCATTAAATTATTAATGTCCAAAGATTCTGCTAAAAGTTTCCGAGGTCCCTCAGGCAGTTCCGTAATTATAAAAACATGACGATGATGGACAGGTCTAAACCGAGGGCAAACTGTTAAAATGTGTCCCA